GATTAGGAGCTCCAAACTCTAATCAGCATGCAACAGTCCCCTTGATAATTGGGTTCAATTAATATTTATAAAATTGTGGCACTAACTGAGAGTGTTCATCATGCCCTACACTGAGCTGGACAAATTAATCTTACGAAGAGGTATCTACCGTTACTAAATTTACAAATGATTTAAAAATGCAAATTTAACACTCAAAATAATTAAAAGATAATGGAGTGGATTCTCTTTAAGTATATTTTATTGATTATGCTATTACAGTTGTCCCCTTTTCTCCCCTTTATGCCTCTGTGCCCCATACCCACCTTCCCTCCAGCATTGCCCCCCTTAGTTCATGTCCATGGGTCGTACATATAAGTTCTTTGGCTTCTCCACTTCTTATACTATTCTTAACCTCCTCCTGTGCATTTTGTACCTACCATTTGTGTTTCTTATTCTCTGTACCTTTTCCTCCATTCATCTCCCCTTATCCTCCCCACTTATATCCCTCCATGTGATCTCCAGTTCTGTGATTCTTTTCCTGTTCTAGTTGTTTGCTTAGCTTGTTTTTTTGTTTTATGTTCAGTTGTTGATAGTTGAGAATTTGTTGTCATTTTACTGTTCCTAATTTTGATCTTCTTTTTCTTAGATAAGTCCCTTTAACATTTTATATAATAAGGGTTTGTTGATGATGAATTCCTTTAACTTGACTTTATCTGGGAAGCACTTTATCAGCCCTCCCATTCTATATTATAGCTTTGCTGGATAGAGTAATCTTGGATGTAAGTCCTTGCCTTTCATAACTCTGAGTACTTCTTTCCAGACCCTTCTTGCCTGTAAGGTCTCTTTTGAGAAATCAGCTGCTAGTCTAATGGGAACTCCTTTGTAGGTAACTGTCTCCTTTTCCCTTGCTGCTTTTAAGATTCTCTCCTTATCTTTAGTCTTGGGTCTAACTTAATTATGATGTGTCTTGGCATGTTCTTCTTTGGGTCCAACTTCTTTGGGAGTCTCTCAGCTTCCTGAACTTGCATGTCTATTTCTTTCACCAGGCTTGAAAAGTTTTTTTTCATCATTTGTTTAAATAAGTTTTAGATTTCTTGCTCTTCCTCTTCTCCTTCTGGCACCCCTATGATGTTGGAAGGTTTAAAGTTGTCCCAGAGGTTCCTAAGCCTCTCCTCATTTTTTTCTGTATTCTTGTTTCTTTGTTCTATTCTGGTTGAATGCTTATTTCTTCCCTTTGTTCCAAATCGTTGATTTGAATCCTGGTTTCCTTCCCTCTACAGTTGGTCCCCTGTATATTTTTCTTTATTTTATTTTATATAGCCTTCACTTTTCCTTTATTTTGTGGCCATACTCAGTCATTTCTTTCAACATCCTGATTATAAGTGTTTTGAACTCTTCATCTGGTATGTTGGCTATCTCTTTGTGGCTTAGTTCTTTTTCTGGAGCTTTGGTCTGTTCTTTCATTTGGGCCAGATTTCTTTGTCTCAGTGCACCTGTTACATTGTAAGGAGTAGAGCCACAGGTATTCACCAGGGCAGGGCAACCCACTTGGCTGCATTGTGGCACCGAATGTGGGGGAAGGGTCAGAGCGGCAACAATGCTTGCTGGGCTCTCGGTTGGCTTTCAGTCACTTCCCCCACTACCCACAGGCAAATTGAGCCCATCGGGTGCTGATTCCCAGGTGAGTAGGCTTGTGTACATTCTAGGACCCCAGGGGCCCCTCCAACGAACTCTACTGTGAGACTGGCAGTTTCTCCCCTCACCATTGCAACCCCCACAGATTTTGACAACCAAGGGTTTTGAAGTTCTCTTTTGCTATCCTGGAGACCTAGGTTGTGTGGTCTGTCTCACTCCCCAGTTTATCCATATGCAAGTATGTGACCACCCAATCTGCAGTCACTGCCTTGCCTTGTGTCCCCTCCACCCTGACTGCCTGTCTCCACCCTTTCTACCAGTCTGGATGGATGTTTCTTCTTTAACTCCTTGGTTGTCTGGAAGTTCTGGGTTTTTGTGTTTAAATTGGTTTTTATCCATCTTTTGGCTGTGTGAGGAAGCAAAGCATATCTGCCTACACCTCCACCTTGGTTGCAAGCCAATATTTTCTGGAGTAGATTTTTAAGGGTATTGGTTTTAAGGACAAAATTGATTCACTGCTGCAAGAAATCAGTATGGACAGTTGTAGTCAAAGAAGTCTTCCTGGAAGAGGTAGTAGTTGATACAGGCGATGAAGGGATGAGAAAATTCCAAATATGATAAGAAACTAGGACGGTATTATGAATTAGAAACATCACAAACACAGGTTTATAGGTTAGAATACATGTAGTTTTCATAACACTGACTAGTGGAGAAAAGAGCCATTAGAGGAAGGATGGGGTTAACATGCAGAGAAATTTGAGAGCCAAGCAACAGAGCTTATGCATTTAATAGTCACCAATATGGAGTACTTTAGGGATCTACATGTAGGATTTGTTCTAAGTACGGTGTCTACAGCTCCCAGGATGTTCCAGGCTTTCTCAAACCCCTGCACCTTCAAATACACTATTCCCCGAGCCAGGAATGCTACTTCTGACCTCGCTTTCTTTATCTTCAGTGTTCATCTCTGGCAGCACGGCCATGGATACTTTCTTGATACGTTCCCTTTACCCAGCATTAGGTTCCTGTTCTCTCATACACATAAGATATCTTGGGCTTCTTTCTAGCATAGAATTTACCAAACTAGGTTGTGATTATGTTTAGTTGTAAACTCTTCAAGAAGAAGGGCTTTGACACATTTATCTTTTTGCTCCATAATCTAGCACAATGCTTATTTCATAGATGTACTCAATTAATATTTGAATAAATTGGTTAATATCTTAATTATGAATGGAAGAATTATAAATATGTATAATTTTATATTTTTAATATTTGTAGGTGAATATTACTCACTTGGGCTAAAAACGTTATTATTTCGATGCCTCTTGGCTTTAGAATATTTCCCATGAGAAAAAAAAACAAATTACATTGGGTAACAACATAAAAGAACTGGCAATAATACATGAAATTAGTGATATCAATTATGAAAGGTAAGTCAAAGTTCTGTTTGTTCTGCAACTGTGCAAAACTCAAAGCCTTTTTATCTATTGAAAAGAAAAATTATGAGCATGCCATCAATCATGCCATCTGCGATGAATGTATTCTTTAAAAAGAAAAGCATTTAAAATTCCCTATAAAAGCTGAGTGGACAGGCAATATAAACACAAAAAACAACAAGCAAATAAACAAGTGAAATATAGCAAGGGCATGAAGAAACAAAGAACCAACAAATCACAGGGTGGGTATAATGACCATTAGGTGTGTGGCCAGTAGTCCTACCTGGGAGGAAGATGCGCAACACTAGCCTCAGACCCTGAGGAAGAAGAGCATTCCAGGCAGAAGCACTGCCCTCTGCAAATGCCCCAGGGTGGGTAAAGGATAGGAATGCTCAAGAAACCACAAGGTCATGTGTAAGCGGAAGACGTGACTGAGGAAGGGAGCAGCATGGCAAGAAATCACAGAGGTGGACGGAGCCACAGCAGGCAGAGCTCTCAGACCTTACGGAAGAGTCTACACCTTTTCCTAGGAACATGAGACGCCATAAAAGGGTTCCACATCAACAGCGTGATCATATACTGAGCACTTCCTGTGTGCTGACATTGTGCAAAGGAAGGAATGCAAGAGCAGTGCTCTGAAGGCAGCCTGTCTGGGTTCAAATCTTTGCTCTGCCTCTTGCCAGCCATGTGACCTTGGGCGACTCACTTAATCTTCCAGGCCCATCAGAGGATTGTGTGAAGACTGAATTAGCGAAGTAATGAGAACAGGGCCTGACCTCCAGTAAGTGCTTCCTGCATGCTTTAATGAAAGGTCAGAGTTTTGCAACACACTTCAATCTTAAGTCTCTCCCCTTCCTTCCACGGCCCTACATGATCTGACTGCTCCAACCTCATTTCCCATGACTCTCCAGTATCACTGGGCTCCCAGCCATTTCCCCACAACACCAAACCTATTCTAGTCTCAGGGTTTTCTTTGTCATTCTGGGGTTTGTTCCCATGGCTCCTCTGTGTCTCCTAGATGCCCCTCGCCAGGCCTTCCAATGCTCTTTCTACAGCTGCACCTTCCGTCACTCATCTACTCACCCCACCCCCTCCTGCTTCTCCCACGGCTTGGCCTGGACACTATGTTTCTGTGTTGACTTGTTTACTGTCTGTGCTCTCCCTCAAGACAGGGACTTTATTTTTGCACTGATGGCCTCACTACCCAGAAAAAAAAAAAAACAGTTGAATGAATAAACGAATAAACAATGTTTGCCCTCATTTAATATTCACAAAACTGTAAGTGCATTCTCGTGACATGGGTGAGGAAACAAAGGCTGAGCGAGGAAAAGAAGGAAATGATCGGGCCCAGGTGGGCTGTGTCCCCTCCTGTGGTCTTAATCACAAGAGCAGTCCCGTCTGCGCTGGGCTCCATACCTCCCACCTCCAACCCCAGACGACCGAATGAAGGGACACCTGCACCAGCCCAGCAGTTGGCACCTCCTGGCAGGGAAAGGCAAAGCCCTCCCGGGGCGCCTCTGCCGCCTTGCACACCGCCCCAGAGTGAAGTCCGCGTCTGAGGACCACTCCTCAGTCACATCAGTGTCAGCTGAGCCACCGCTTTCTCCCCACACCCAGTGATCTTTTTTCTTATTTTTTTTTTCTGGGAGAACTCAAAGATGCAGGCCACATCAGCATGAGGGACTTGTGAATAGATAATCTCCTTTGATGCCTTTCCCCAGCTGCCTACATTCATCAATAAAAAGGCTACCTCATTCTGCCAAAAACCTCTTGGTGGTACCTGACCTTCTGTGGTTTGATCTTTTCTCAGCCTGTCTTTGCAATTCCCTCAAGCTTGGTTTTCCTTTCAGTGCCTGGAATACTGATTTACTTTGAAAAAGCACCATCATCTGTGTCTTCTCTGCTCCATAAGTTAATCAATAACTCAGTCCAGCCCAGCAGTGGATCAAATAATATTCCTCTTCTGCTCCCCCCAGCCCCCCACCTCTGCCTCACCCTGAGTTTTGAGCACATCGAGCTCCAGTGCCTGGGAAGGGCAACATACACCAGGAAGCAGAAAGGCACAAGATCAGTCAATCTGCAGAAAGTAAGGTAAACCTCTCTCGGCTCTTTCAAAAGGAAATGCAGAAAAAGGTGAAGCCGCTTCCTCTCCTCCCCTCCCCCGCTTCCACGGAACCCAGAATCCCCTGCGAGGAGATGTGATAGCTAGACACTTTCCACCCCAGCTGAAGAAACTATTTCAGGCTCCATCTCCCACTTACTTTTCCAAGGCTGTAATCTATGGGCTCACCACACTTTTCATTACACTGGTTTCAAACCCAAGAATTTCCCTCTCTGTTCACCCGCTGTTGGTTCATGACTAAAGCAGCCACTTTACGTTTTGAGGTATTAATTTAAGTAGATTTCCTGCCTGTGCTTTCCCCTTTTCTTCCCTCATCAAAGCAGGTAGCCAGCTCTTTGATTCATTGCCTTAGGGCAGCTATGTGGCAGAGTGCAAAACAGGAAGCCTGCTAGATTTTCTGGTTTGCGTTTCCTTCGCTTTAAACCCACTGAGGAGGGTTTGACAGAAGACACAGAGGGGCTTGGAGAAGTGGCGAGTGCAGGGGGGGATTCCCCTGTGCTGGGGGAGGAGAGAGAGCTGGGGGTGCTCGGAGCAGTAGCAGAGCTCCCTGGTTTTGCTGTGTAGTAGTGCCTTAGGACACAAAGAGATGATGGTTCTGAGGGTCCCCTCCCACGCAAGAGGAGGGGACCCTCAGCACAGAGGGTCCTGGCTTCGTCAAACCTGCCCATGCCTCATGTGATGTGAAAACAGACAACCAGCAGATGTCCAGAGACACTGAGCGTTTGGATAGTGAAGATGCCAACAGTGAGCACAGGTGACTTAAAATTAGAGACACTTCTTTTTTGAAGGCATCACATAAGCCCTCCCCACACCCCAGGGCTTGGTGCTGTCCCATGAGGGAGAAGGAGCTCAAATGATAGAGATGGAATGTGATACCAATTAGTTAGGACTGGGCACTCGGAGTCCTAAATCAAGATGCTCTTCAGAAAACAAAAGGATGTTTCTTCTACAGCAGAGTGTATTGGAATGAGATTCCAATACAGCTTTAGACTGTCCTCCCAATTTTCCATATGCTTTCCCCCAGATGCTATCCCTTAAGGCCACCTGAGACACGGGTCAGACCCCAGGCATTGCCGGCAACTGGCACCGTGATTCCACGCCCAAGCTCGGCTGGAGAGCTCACTGCTGCTCACCTGCTGGGGAGCAGGGGCTGTCTTTAGACAGATATCTTAATTCACTAAGGTTTACCATGTTAAATAGTTCATTTTTCATTTTCTTCATGTCACAGAACCTTGAATCAATCCTCCCCAGAACTCAGTTAATCATGTCTCCCAAGAGGAAAAGCTCACAGTTACCCAAATCCTTCTTTCTCCTCCATGTGGAATCACTTTCCTGGGAATTGTGTGTTGGAAATATCATTCCGATCTCTCCCCTCCTCTGCCCCACAGCCACAGTCCTATTCAGAACTGTGCTAATCTCTGCTAAAATTATCTTAATTAAGACACTATGGCAGACATCTAGGATGAATATCCAATAGCAAGGAGGTAAAGAACCATGTATTTTCCTACCCAATGTATTTTATCACCCTAACATAGAATCAGTAAGTTCTAATATATAAATATTAGATTATAATTGGGATGCATTCTCTTAAAAAAAAAAGCCTTAAATTTGGTATGAGTCTCTATTTTACTATTTTCTAATCTGCATTTGTTACCTTTGCAGGTAACGGGGTTTGGACATTGTTTTGTCTAAATGTTAACATTATTTGAGGCGAAGCCAGCATGGTCAAAATACCCAGCCTGTCAAGCAGCCTTTCACCTCCATTCGGCTTGGGAAGCCAGCCAAGGTCAATAGTTGCTATCTGGTAAAGTCAAAGTCTTTCTAATTAATGCTACAACAATCACAGATTTGCGAGAATGCTGTCCACCCCCTGCCCCCTGCAAAAAGGGGATGCTAGAATTGAGACGGTTATTCTTTCTCAGTGAAATTGCATATGATCATAAAACTTGCCAGAATTGTGTATTTTTTTACAGCATTATGGCAGCCAGGAAAAAAGAATTTCTTTCAGTGGATGTAAATTCCTTACATTATATTTCAGAAATGTGAAGATGGTAGCCTTTGGTGACTAACAACAGGAAACTTGGATGGAAGTAGTGAGAACCCATAAAACATGACACTACCATTGAGCAGACATGGGAGCGTAGGAATGCTGGCAAGCCTCAGAGCCCGCATCCTCCAACCACGAAAAAGAGACCAGGCGTCTCCTGCCAGAAGAGAACAAGGAAGGAAAGCAGCTGTTTCACTGAGAGCCCCATGCCTCCGCTCCTCCAAGCTTAGGCGTAACAAATGATACTTTCAATATTCGCAAGGTGAGGAAGCTAACTAATGCATTCCCGAAATGAGTCTTTACCTGTAAGTCATTTGCTGTGTGTATGCTGTTGCAAGAAGGTGGCAAAACAGATTTTTTTGAATTTTACATAGATTCCCCACTGCAGATATAACTGAATCAACTTTCTGTTGATTCTTCATAGCTACAATAGTTTGCACTTGTCAGTACATTCTTTTCCCTGGTTTGTGCTCACATCCTTGTCATCCTAACAGATGTTTTAACCAATGTTCTATTTTGTGTAACTCTGGAGCTACAGATTCATGGGCTTCACTTAGGACATGCTGCTGATGAACTAGCTGCTCTCCTGCGTGGGGCCCGTGGCCGGACATCCAGCAGCCACACAAGCCATTGCATTCTAACCTATTATCCCCAGTACCTCCATTCCCATCCATGCAATTAACCCCCAGGCCCTGCAGTCGGTGTTTTCAAAGAGGCTTCTGTGATTTTACTTCACCCTGTGCTACCTGAAGCAGAACTCATTATCTTAAAGTTTCATCATCTAAAACTTGCAGATATATGTTAGTTGTCTGTTTGTTTATTTAGACTAAGTGTTTTAGGCAATGGGGCATCTGCTGAGTAAGTGCTTTCACGTGGAGAAGTTCTGCAGCTCATGCATTCCATTTCCTTAACGAAAATGGATTCTTTGAAGGTGGGAAAAAACGGTTTTGAGAATAAAAAGATGAGGATACTGGGTATGCTAAGGATCAGAGAGTGCAGTGTTACCTACGAGGAAAACCACGGCTCCTCCCTCTCCCTCTCACAGTCCCCTCTCCCTGCTTTCTTAATTTTAGCTCTTGAAATCAAGTATCTTCTAATACTTTTTCAGAGTGTCCTAGGCTTCTACGACCAGGAGAAGAATGACCCTGGTCAGAAACTTGGCAGAATTTGAAAAAGTACATATAAATCAAGCCAAACATTTTTGATTAAAAAATAAATAAAGATAAATTGATTGGTATACAAATGATAGCTAGAAATGGATTCATTAGCATAGGCAAAACTGCAAGGATATATTCCAAAATGTTAGCAATACTTATCACTGAGCAGTATATTATCATATCTTATAATCTTATTTATGTTTCTTTAAAAAAGACCTTATTTTTAAAGCATTTTAGGTTCACAGCAAAATTGAAAGGAAGGTGCAGAGACTTCCCATACACAGAGCCCCTGCCCTAACACACACATAGCTTCCCTCCTTACCCACACCCCACCAGTGACACATTTGGTACAACTGATGAACCTACATGACACATTATAACCATTCGAAGACCATAGATCACTGTAGGATTTACACTTGCTGTTGCCATTCTATGGACAGGACAAGCCTGCAATGACATATTACCCTAACCCTGGTACACAGAGTATTTCACTGCCCTAAAAATCCTCTGTGCTCCACCTACTATGCCCCCATATTCTATAATTTTCCAGTTTTTTTACAATGAGAAACTGTACTTTTCAATGAGAAACAAAATGTTTGTGTTAAAATAATGCTGAATTGGTCTAAGAAACTTTGAAAACCAAGAGGCTGGATTAGATTCTCTGGACTTCTTACATAGTTACTTAAAAGAGAGAATGTTGAAACTGTCTCAACTCTTCGGTGTAGGTCCAGAACTGGGCAACATCACTCCTGCTGTGTTGTATTAGACAAAGCCTGCGCAAGTCAGCCCAGACTCAAGAGTATGGAGGCGAAGACACTGCCTGTCAGTGGGGCAGTAGAGGAATCTATGCCTGGAGGCAGGGAAGAACTTGAAGGAAGCTAGTTTTCACGACAAGCTACCGTACACTCGCAGATGAATCTGATAAGGAAAGAAAGAGGCAAAAATATCCCCACATTGGCTTCTACGTGATTCTTCCGAGGAACTCTGGAAAGAAAGTTATGCTTTGGGGTTGTCCCAACCTAAGGGAATATGGCCAGACTTTTATGTTTTCACATCAAAAAGGCCAACAAGGAGGGTAAACCAAATTTAAAAATAAACAAAACTAGCCCTGGCTGGTGTGGCTCAGTGAACTGAGTGCCAGCCTGTGAACCAAAGGGTTACCGGTTTGATTCCCAGTCAGGGCACATGCCTGGGTTACAGGCCAGGTCCCCGGTGGGGGTGTATGAGAGGCAACCACACATTGATATTTATCTCCTCTTTCTCCCTCCCTTCCCTGTTTTTAAAAATAAATAAATAAAAGCTTTAAAAATATATTAAATTAAAAAATAAAAATAAAACACCAAAAGAATGTTTCCAACGAATATATGTAAATAGGCAATAAGCACATAAAAAATTGTTTCACATCATTAGTCATCAAGAAAATGTAAATTAAAACCACAATAAGATCCCATGTCATAGTCACTAAGATGGTGAGAATAAAAAAGTAAGGTAATAGTGTTGGCGAGGATGTGGAGAAATCAGAGCCATCACACAATACTGGTGGGAATCTAAATGATGCAGGCACTTTGGAAAAATGGCCTAGTACTTCCTCAAACTATGAAAAAGAGTTTCTTTATAACCCAGCCAATCCTACCCCTCCCTGGGTGTATACCTAAGAGAAATGAAAACATACGTCTACTCAAAAACACCTGGTGGATGTTTATAACAGCATTGTTCATAGCAGCCAAAAGGTAGAAATGACCCGAATGCCCACCAGCATATGAATAAAAAAAAGAAAAATGCAGAACAGCCACATAAAGAAATGGTATTTAGCCACCGAAAGGAATGAAGCAGTGGTACATGCCACCCATGAACAAACCTTGAAGACATTATGCTAAGTGAAAGAATCTCGTTTCAAGATACCATGTATGATCCAATTTATAGAAAATGTCTAGAATAGGCAAATCTATAGAGACCGAAAGTTGATGAGCAATGGCTTAGGGCTGGGGTGAAGACTGCGGGGACGGAGGGGCGATTGCTAACAGTTGGAGGGGTTCTCTTTGAGGTAACAACAATGTTCTAGAACAGACTGCAATGACAGCCGCACACATCCGTCAGTACACTGACAACCATCGTACTGTACATTTAAATGGGTGAAGTACCTGGTATGTGAATTATGGCTTCATGAAATTCTTTTTAGACAAACACTGGTCAAAATTAATTCTTTAAAAAAACAGGAGGGTAATGTACATTCCAGGCTGCTTCCAGGTCTCTGCAGTGGGGGCAAAGGGGCTGGAGTAGCACAGCAGTGGTCGTTTAAAAGAACAATTACCATAGCTGGTCCTCGGAAACACAGTGAAGGTACAGGCACAGAGAGGGGAGGAGATTCACAGAAATGGTAAAAAGAGACCTCAGGGTAGCAAACTGCATCAGCCTGAAGCACGCGCCATTTCTTAACCCATCACTGTGACCAGGAAGATACGAAATGCTGGGGTATTGTCCACGACTGTGTCCCACACCCACCCCCAAACCAAGCTAAGGATGGGGAGGTCTGGGCCTTCAGTGGAAAAGTGGAGTGACGTACAGAAAGAAAATGGAAGCTGGGCAGTCACACACAGCATAGCGATTCTTAAAATAGAATGGAAAGAGCTGCTTCAAAAACCACTAGGCTTCCTGTACAGGAGGTTCACATGCAGAGCAGAGATGTCGCTGTCTACAGGGTTGAACTGGGGTCCTCGGGGGTCCTCGGTTTTAGAAGAATCCCCAGTGACTCCTTCCTCCTAGTTAGTGTTCATGCCCTTGGGTAATCCCTTCCTCTTGACCATGGGCTGCATTTGTTGACTCACTTCCAGAGAATACGGTGCATCAGAGGGGATGGAAAGTCACTAATGAGATTAGCTGGCTTCCTTCTTAAGCACCCCTCTCCCTTTCTTGACCTCTTGTTTACTTGCTCACTTACTCAGAGGAAGCCAGTTGCCATATTGTGAGTATCTCTATGGAACTCTTGTGGGAGAAACTGACACTGGCCAGCAGCCCTTTAGCACCTGGGATCTGCCAACAGCCTCATACATGAGATTAGGAGCAGATCCTTACCCCAGTGGAGCTTTGAGATCACGACAGTCTTAGATGACACTGATCGAAAACTTGTGAGACACCCTGAGCCAGAGGCACCCAAGCCATGTCAGCACCCAGACCTTCATACTGTGAGATAACAAATGCTTGTTCCTTTTAGCACTGAGGTTTGGGGGAATTTGTAACACAATCATTTGCACAATAGATAATCAGCACAGCCTTTAAAGCCCCTTCCCATCCTATGAGTACATTGGTTTGAGAATTTATTTTATCAGAGGGACTATTATTGTCGTGTGAGTACGGAACTTGTCTCTGAGTGTGAACACGAGTGTTTGTTTGCATGTGCCTGCCTGTGTGTGTGTTTTACAGGGGAGGCCAGGAAGGTGACCCATTGGTAAGAAAAAAAGAATAATTTCAAAGACTCCAGCCTGTTTTGATGTTGATGTGTCCTGGCTCTCTCTCCCTAGCAACGCACTGGCTCCTGCAAACAGGATTTGCTTATTTTTTCAGGATGAAGGGAAGTGTTGCTGTGACAATGGTCACATAAGGACTACAGCTGTCCCTCTTAACCAGGTGTCATGCCCTCCAAGAGACAGCAGCGAGCCCCTGGATTTAGACAGGCTAAATTACACCCCAAAGAAATTATCTGAAGTAGGATCAGCATCATTTAGATATTTTTTCTGACTACTGTGGGAATGGTCAGGAGCTTCTCAAGGACTACAGCGGTGGGAAAAAGTAGGTTTACAGTCACAAGTATGTGCAACGTAGTTTATTCCTCTAGTATTACTTATTAATGAGTGCATCATTTTCTATATGAGCATCTGTAAACCTACTTTTGCCCACCCCTGTATTTATCCTACTAATTCTATCTTTGCTTCACAGGAACATGTTAGGTTCCTTTTCCACCCAAAAATCTGTCACTGCCCATTGTAAAATCATAAACCAGGCAGGAAGTTCTGTGTAGAGATTATGCCTGGACCGCCACAAAGCCTGGACCACCAAAAGCTTTTGTCCATGTCAAAGCAAGCAGTGCGTCTCGTCCCAAAGAGCGGGGGTCTCCCACAGCAGGAGCTACAGACACACTGGTGACTTGAATGGAATCCCCCTTTTCCCTCCTGCCTCCAACAAACAGCCTCATTCAGAACATCAGCTTGCCCTTACCTAATGGCAAATGATCGCAAAACAACAAGAGCTGGCATCTTACAGCAGAAGTGAGGGCCTGTCTGAGGTTCTTTTCCTCCAATGATTTTCATGTGACCCTTCCAAAAGGGCAGAGGCATCACCTTCATCACCTGAGGCCTCTCAGGTAGGGACTCTCAGAAATTGACCCTGAGGTGCCTAGCGGTCATGCAGAAAGCAAGAACGCAAGGGTCCAAGGGTCTTTCAGACGTGCCATTCAGATGGGCATGTGGAGGGAGACACAGAACCGATTTCTGGATTTCTGTTCTAGTCTAAACGAGGAGTAGCAATGGGCATCAGTAGATTATCCAGTTTGGGAACTATCTGGGGGAAAGGGCTGGAGGATTGGACCACTCAGTGAGTAACATCTGTCGTGTGCTCCTCTGGGCGCACCAGGACACAGCAGAGCTGCCACAGGAAAGAGATTCTTCTCCTGAGTCCGGACTTGAGCTAAGAGGCAGAAGGTCTAGCAATGTGGACAAAACATGGCTTGGAGACAGGAGGCCTGGATTCCAGTCCTGTAGCTTTTTGATCAGTTTGTCTTGGTCAAGGTTTTATTTTGGTTTTTTTTATTTTTATTTATTAAATTAATTATTTATTAAAATAAAATTTATTTATTTTATTAAATCAAAATTTATTTTAATTTATTTTGTTTATTTCTTATAATTAAGCAAAACCTACTCTAATTAGCTTAGACCAAACAGGCTCTCTAGTGTAGGTCTTGGATAGAAGCAGAGTTGGACCAAATGACAACACAAAACAAAACTGGCACTAAAAACTAGAAAGCCACTAATAACTAGGACAGTTTTTCTCTCTCTCTCTCTCTTTATCCTAAAGGGTTCTCATCTAGTTCTGCTGTGTATGGTTATATCATTTCTGCCTCGGCTTCTGCATGGCCACAGATGTAGGCCCTTGAAGTGCAAAAGTCCTCAGTTCCAAAACCATCTAAACTGACAAGTATTGCTGAATCTGATTTCCAAACTCCCAGGTGTGAGACTGTGATTAGTTAGATGAGGTCAGTGGCCTGATGCCACTTCCAATCAGCTATGGACTGGAAAAGGGGCTGGGGTGGGAGTCAGGGTACAGCACAAAGAGGGCTTTCGGCAGCAATCTCTGAGAACTGGAGAAGGAGGTGGGGAGGGGGAAGTCTTCAGGGGGGCTTGGGGATGAGGCACATTGTCAAAAATGCACCTACTCCACCATGGAGGCTTCCTGAAGTTCAATTCTTTGAGGAGCTTAAACTTCTAGTCCCTAAAATCCTCTTCCCAGAGTCTTGAGTTCTGTTCAGTAAATCCTTGCACTAAGATAACATATCCTAACTCTTCCCTCAGGAAGAGTAAATAGTCCCTGTCAGCCCCTTGGTGACAAAGGAGATGCAGAATCATAAGACAAGTCTGGAAAAAATAGGAAACAGATCACGTTAACCATTGTCTTACCCGCTGCGCCCTCCTCTCTGCAGAGCCTAAGCAAGGAGATAGCTGCAATCTGGGGGAGGTACTTCCCCTGCTAAGGCCCTGAGGGGATCATTGACAACATTATCACTGCACTAAGTGGATCAGAACTTCCAAATGTCTTACTAAGCTTATTGGGTCCCCAAAGGCCTAGAAAGCGACAGTGTGCTGCCCTGAGTACCCAGCTTGCTACTCTCCTGGGAGCACTGAGGAGGAGGCGGCTCCGACTACAGCTAGAAGAGGTCTCTTCCAAGGTCATGCACACAGGCAGCGAAGACACAGCTCTAGCTTGTACGGAGACATGTGCCCTACGTGATATAAACAGGCCCTTTTCCCGATTTCTTACTCCAGTACATTCATGTAGTTCTCTTGCCCATTTTAGCCCATTAATCATCTCTTTTTCACTCTCCTGTCTTCCTGTAACGGTTGAGAAATTATATGACCCAGAGACAACATCCTTGGTCTGGGTTTCCTCTAGTGTCAGTCACTGTTGAATCAAGTACATTTAGCTGCCTTCTTGCTATTTTTCTAAATTACTGTCTTCAAGCAAATTCTCGACTAAAAAAGTCTTTTTATTATTCTGATGGAATTCAGCAAACAGTGTCTATGGGAC